CCCGCCCCCAAGGAACTCCAGGCCCCGGGAAGGACCTTCTTGGCGCCCCTCCGCATCCAGACCCCGATGTCCAAGTCTGACCTGAACCCCCATCCCGTTTCCCCGAAGAGACCACGGTGCCAGGTGCGAGGCTCCTGGGCGACAGCGTGACAGGAGGTTCTAGTGATGTGGATCAGGCAGGACCCCGCAGGGAACTCCAGCTACGGGGCTGTCTTCCCCCCGACCCTCGGCCCTCGGCCCTCGGCGCAAGCTACCCCTCAAACCCTGGCTTCTGGAGCCCGAGCTGCCAGGCCGGGGAGGTAAGCAGAGTGCGCAGGGCCGGGGAGGAGCAGGCCCTCCGGAGCAGAGATCCCGGGGACCGAGGGACGTGCAGCCTAGGAGCCGGGCCTGGCTTGCATCCCCGTTGGCCCCTGCTGGCTTGGGCAAGTGGTTTCATCTCAGCTCGTCCCCTCGTCGCCTGTAAAGCAGGGCGGGTGACCCGCGTGCTGCCCCCAGCAAGCTGTCTTGAGGGTCCGGCGGAGTTATCCAGGTGACCCGCTTAGAACAGCGGTTGGCGTGAGCTCCTGGGAGCTGTCAGCTGCTGTCACTGCCTGGTGGAAGAAGGGCGAGTGGAAAGGACCCGCCGCTGCAAGGAGGGGGCCTCCTGCCCAGCGGAGCGCTCCCCCAGCGGCCGGCGCCCCCTAGCGTCGGGTTCATTTCTTTGCGCCCAGGGAGAACAGGACGCGCCCTCTGCTTGGAAATGGGGTGAGAAGCCTCTGCGCCTCAGTTTCCTCACCTGCGAAGTGGATATGGCTATGAGGATGAACAAACGCTGATGTTTATTCTTCATTTCTGTGCCGGGAACTGTGCCAGGCTCCGCCAGAGTGACTCAGGAAAGGTCAAATGCTTGGAGCGGGCCTGGCACTCAGTACCAAGCAAGGGCCACTCTGGTCATTTCAGCAGACCTGGGGCCTCCGGGCTTATGGTTTAGGATGAGGTAAAACCAAACAGCGAGCCGAATGAAAGAGAAACCTTCAGTAAATAACAACCAGGTAATGATGGGGAAGGGACGGAGTGAATGACCAGGATGGTAGTTAAGACACATACCTTGAGTGACAACCCAGTTCTGTCACAACTTTGAGCCAGTCACTTCTCCTCTTAACCTCCAGGGCACAGCTCAGCCCTCCTTTCCTCCGCTAAGCCCCCCTGTAACCAGCCGCCCCACACACTCAGGCCCCCTGGGGCTCCCCCATCTCAGCCGTGCCCACTGTGGGCTGTCACTGTCTGGGGAAGAGTCTGTCTTTTCGCTGCACTGTACAGTCCTTGAAGGCAGGGCGGGGCTGTCTGGGTCCTTGCTGGGTCCCCAGCATTGCCCATCACAGAGCCAGACAATGTGTTCAGTCACCAATAATAATAACATTTATTATTGCCCTGGCTGGTTTGGCTCAGCGGTTAGAGCATCGGCCTGCGGTCCAAAGAGACCCAGGTTCGGTTCCTGCTAAGGGCGTGTACCTCGGTTGCAGTTTGTCCCCGGCCCTGGTTGGTTGTGCAGGTGGCAGCCACTCGATGTGTTCCTTTCACATCGATATTTCTCTCTCTCTCTCTCTCTCTGTCTTCCTCTCTCTCCTTCCCACTCTTATCTGAACTACAACAACAAAAATGGAAGGATGTCCTCGGGTGAGGATTAAAAAAAAATGTCCTCAGGTGAGGATAAAAAAAATAATAAAATAACATTTATTGAGCACTTATTATGTGCTAAGTATCCTTTGAAGAGGTTTACCTGCATAGTCTCATTGCCTATGGTCCTGTTATCCTCAGTTGACAGACAAGGAAACTGAGGCACAAACTTGCCCAAGACCACCCCACTGGTCATCAGGGCCAGAGCTTAGATTTAACATGGCTGTCCTGTACCCTCAGTTAGCCACCTTTCTCTGCTGCCAAGATGTTTGCTAAATGACTGCTGGTGAGGAGTGACCTGTCGCTTTTACTCCTCTCCCCAGCCAAGCCCCGGAACAAGGCAGAGGCCCAGGAGGTCCTGACCCGCTAGGCCAGGAGCCAGATTGCGGCCAGCTGCATCTCCACAGGAGGCCGCCCACCCACCTGCATCTCCTGGTGCCTGGATGGGAAGGACACTAAGACCCAGGTGCCAGGAGCCCCACCTGGCACATTCACCGTTATCAGCCTCTTAACCTTAATACCTCGAGCCAGCTGGACGCAAGACTGTCCTGCACGGTGGAGCTCCAGACCTGAGAAGTCCATCCAACTGCCCGTGAGTGTGCCCAAGTGTGAGCGAGTGTGGACACACTGCCGGACTGCCCACAACACCACAGTTCTTCATTAACTGTACCAGCTTCTTAGGCCACAGTCAACGCTGCTCTCCAGGTTGTCTGCCCTGGATTCCCTGGCCACTGTCTACACTGACACCCACACTACCTTTTTAAAATTTTTATCCTCACCCGAGGACATTTTTGCATTTATCTTCAGATGGAGCAGGAGGGAGGGAGGGAGGAAGAGAGAGAGAAACTTCAGTGTGAGAGAGACACATCAACTGGCTGCCACACACACACGACCCCAGCCCCAGCTGGGGCCAGGGATAAACTGCAACCAAGGTATGTGCCTCCCCATCGTCTGCACTGGCTCCTCTGGGCCACAGTAGCTCTGCCCTTGCTGTCTATGCCAGTCATTTAGGCCACCAGCTCTGGGGAGTTGTGTTCTCCATGTCATCTAGACTGCCCCCGTGACTGCTGTCTACATTGACACCCTACATTTTCTCCACTGGTTCTCAGGGCACTCCCTCACACACACCCCAAATATTGTCTGCCCTGGCTCATCTAGGGACCATGTCCTCCCAGCGTCGTCTACACTGGTGGGCAGTTTTACACTGATTCCCTCAGGTGCTATCTACACTGGACCCCCTTGATGTTGTCACTGGGTCTGAGAGAGGAGGGGCTGGGCACCTGGACTCCTGGGTCTGAGGGAGGAGGGGCTGGGGGCCTGGACTCCTGGGTCTGAGGGAGGAGAGGATACAGGAACATAAAAAGAGAAAGAAGTCAACTTGGGGCCCCAGGAATATTTCTGTATTGCATACACAGTTTGTAGGGGGTTAGTCCAAGTTCACCCGTATACCTGCTCTTTATGGCATGTCTGCTGTGTGTCCAGTACTTAACTCATCCCGTGTGATCCCCAAACTCTAGGTACAGTCAACCCTATCCCCATGCCTGGGTTAAAGATCAGCTGGGGCCTGGCCGGTGTGGCTCAGTTAGTTGAACGTCATCCCGTGCACCAGGAGGTCACCCGTTCGATTCCCAGTCAGGGCACATGCCCAGGTTGTGGGCCCGATCCCCAGTAGGGGGTGTGCAGGAGGCAGCTGATCAATGTTTCTCTCTCTCTCTCCCTCTCCCTTTCTCTCTCTCTAAAATCAATCAAAAAACAGGCCCTGGCCAGTTTGGCTCAGCAGTTGTAGCGTTGGCCTGCGGGCCAGAGAGTCCCGGGTTCGGTTCCTGCTAGGGGCACGTACCAAAAATAAATAAATAAATAAAATCAAAAAACAAACAAAAACGGATCAGCTGCACCCCAACAGGAACCATCATTTTCCCAGGTCACACACACAGCCTCAAGGGCACAGAGCTGGCCCTTCAGTTGGCACCTGACTCCAAACCCAGTCCTCTTACCCCGGGCTTTGCCACCCCCCCAGTCACCGCATCAGCCTGCTCAGTCATCTCTGACGGAGTCAATACTGTCTCCATTCTCTAGATGAGCAATTTGAGGTGCAGGGAAATCAGAAAATGTCCTCAGATGCATACCGACACAAGGGTTAAGAGTGGGGGAAGAGCCCTGGCCGGTTTGGCTCAGCGGTTAGAGCGTTGGCCTGCGGTCCGGAGAGACCCGGGTTCGGTTCCCGCTAAGGGCACGTACCTCGGTTGCAGTTTGTCCCCGGCCCTGGTTGGTCATGCGGGTAGCAACCACTCGATGTGTCCCTTTCACATCGATGTTTCCCTCTCTCTCTCTCTTCCTCTCTCTCCCTCCCACTCTATCTGTACAAAAAGTGGAAAAACATCCTCGGGTGAGGATTAAAAAAAAAAAAAAAAAAAGAGTGGGGAAGAAAAAGGCAAAGGGGTAAATTGTGTTACAGAATTGTTATTGAGCCTTTTTTTTTTTTTTTTTATTCTCACCTGAGGACATTTTTCCATTTCCTGTTCAGGTAGAGTGGGAGGGAGAGAGAGGAACAGAAAGAGAGAAACATCGATGTGAAAGGGACACATCGAGTGGCTGCCACCTGCACGACCAACCAGGGCCGGGGACAAACTGCAACCGAGGTACGTGCCCTTAGTGGGAACCGAACCCAGGTCTCTCTGGACCACGGGCCGATGCTCTAACCGCTGAGCCAAACCGGCCAGGGTGTTATTGAGCCTTTTTCATTATTTCAAATCTAATGTAGGACCACCCTGGCTGGTGTGGCTACATTGGCTGAGCGTCATCCTGTACACGGAAATGTCCCAATACTGGTCGGGGCACAAGCCCAGGTTGTGGTCAGCCCCCCGCTGGGGGGCGTGTGGGAGGCAACCATCCATGTTTCTCTCTCACAGCGATGTTTCTCTTTCTAAAATGGGAGCAGTTCTCACGGTGGATGTTGAATGAGGAGTGGTCCTGGGGAGGTGGGGGGGCATTGCTCCACCGGAGGCCCCTGCAACTGTTGTTACAATCACTGCCGTTGCTGCTGACAGTCACACGGAGTGGGAAAGGAAGATGAAGGGGGTCAAGGGAGGAGTGGGAAACTCCAGGCTGTTCCTCCGTCACCTGGAGGACCGGTTCCGCCAGTGTCTGTACATTCACCCAGAGCCCAGGCGAGGCGCCCAGAGCCCGTGGGGAGGGCGCTGCGGCTCGGCCGGCTCGGCCATGTCTCGGCAGCGGCGGCAGCCCCGGGATCCTTGCTGAGCTGGCCCACTGCTGTCAGCGGGCCTGGCCACTGACCCCCTCGGTGTCCAGCGGGTGGACCCTTGGCATCTCCACAGGACGCCAAGATGGACAGTCCCACGGGGACCCAGGGCCACTTCTCAAAGGGCCTCCTGCTCTCAGGTAAGGAGGAAATGTGCCCCAGGGCCCCGGCGACAAGGTGGGACTCGGCCCAGGGGTTGAGCTTCCCCTTGGAAGAAGGAAAAATTGTCAGGGAAGATGAAATTATTAGGGTATGATGATTATTAGGGGAAGCAGCAGAGTCACAACGCCATCATCATTTTATCTATGGAATTTTCTAGAATGTTAGGACCATGAGAGCAGACATTTATCTGTGTATTCTGTTCCCTGCTATCCCCAGTGCCTAGAAATCTAGGGAATTTTAAACATATCATATATAATAGGTATTATAGTATAAGTAATATATATCTGCCTATAAGTATTGGTTAGAATGAATGAATGAATGAATGAATGAATGAATGAATTCAGAGACTCTGGATGCTTAGAAGCAGGCCACACAGCATCTCGGGGCAGAAAAACCTCCTGGACCAATGAAATGGCAAATCTGTGTCATCCATACCTGTGTTTCCACTCCTGAACCCAGGGCAGACATCACTAATCAACCCCAGCACTGTTTCCAATGAACAGCACCCAGAGAGAACTCTTACCCCCAGATGAGGACTTGCAGGGCAGAGAATGCCATGGTCCCTGCCTCTGATCTCAGGTCTCCCCGGTAACTCTCCACAGCCTCAGTCCTGGCCCTCTGGATCCCCCAAGGCTCCTGGGCAGCCCTCCACATCCAGAAGATTCCAGAGAAGCCTCAAAAGAACCAGGATCTCCTCCTCTCTGTCCAGGGCATCCCAGACACCTTCCAAGACTTCATCTGGTACCTGGGGAAGGAGACAGACGGTGGCACAAGGCTGTTCACCTACATTCCTGATATACAGCGGCCCCAGAGAGACGGCAACGCCATGCAGCAACGTGACATCGTTGGCTTCCCCAACGGCTCCATGCTGCTGCATCACGCCCAGCCCGACGACAGCGGCACCTACCACGTGGAGGTCACCATCAACCCTTCCTGGACCATGCGGGCCAAGACTGAGGTCCAGGTGGCCGGTGAGTGTTGGGAGCTGGGGGAGGAAGTGGGGAGGTTAATGCACCCTGAGCAGCTACCATGTGCTCGGCCCTGTGCAAACACTTCCTCTGTTCAGCGCACATCAATTCAGCGCCTGCTGTGTGCCAGTCCCTGAAGATATTCACTCCTCACACGCATTAGCTAATAAAACATCTATTGGGTGACAGACACAGAGCCAGACCTGGAGAATGAACTATCCCACTGACTCCTCACATGCATTCATCAATGAAATACGTATTGAGCACTTAGTGTATGCCGGGTCCGGAGGGCTACACTATATCACTCAATCCTCATGTTCATGTCAAGTGTTTTTGATGAAACCACTCTGGACAAAGCAGTAGAGACAGGGTAGTGGACAACAGCAGTGGCTAACATTTCTTGGACACTTCTTATGGCTAGGTACTAGAGATTAGCTTCTCAACCAGGGCACTATTGACATTCTGAATGGGTTAATTCTTTATAGCAGGAGTCTGTCCTGTGCACTGTGGGGCATTGAACAGCATCCCTGGCCTCTCCCCACTAGATGCCAGTAGCACCCTTCCAGTTGTGACAACCAAAACTGTCCCCAGACATTGCCAAATGTCCCCCAGAGACAAAATCACCCCAGTTGAAAACCACTGCCCCTATATATTAACTCATTTTTTAAATGTTTTTATTGCCCAGTTGGTGTTGGTGTGGCTCAGTGGATTGAGTGTTGGCCCATGGACTGAGAGGTCCTGGTTCGATTCCCAGTTGGGGCACATGCCTGGGTTATGAGCTCGAGTCCCAGTGTGGGGCATATAGGAGGCAGCCGGTCAATGTTTCTCTCTCACATCAATGTTTCTATCTCTCTCTCCCTTCCTCTCTCTCTAAAAAATCAATAGAAACATATTTTAATAAAATAAATAAAATGTTTATATTGATTTTTTTTTTTTAGAAAGAAAGGAAGGGATAGGGAGGGAGAGGGAGAGAGAGAGAGAGAGAGAGAGAGAGAGAGAGAGAGAGAGAGAAACATCAACAACAGAGATACATCAATCAGTTGCCTCCCATATATACCCCAACCGGTGATCAAACCCGCAACCCTTTTTGGCACTCAGGACGATGCTCCAGCCATCCGAGCCACCTGGCCAGGGCTGCACTACATTCTTTTGACTACAAGGGTCACTAAGGTTGGCCCAGATTCAAGGGAGAGGTGCTAGACCTGCTGCTGGATGGAGAATAGCAAGGTCATGTCCCAGAAGAGCACACTGTTGCAGTCAGCTTCAGAAAGCACAGTGGTTCACAGGCTTCCTATTTACATGCTCACTGTCTACAATAAAAGGCAGAAAATATAACAAGTTATAAAAAGAAGACACTTGATCACGTGAACCAGGCAGGGTTCTTGCTGTGGCAGAGGAAACTGCTTCTGGCTGATTTAAGCAGAAAAGGAACCAATTACAGAATCCTGAGCAGCTGAAAGACTCTCCGGGGTGACAGGGAACCAGGCCAGGCAGGTGTTGTATGTTGAATGAGGTCCCCTCGAAAAGATACATTGAGTCCTTACCCGCAGTCCCTCAGAATGGGACCTTATTTGGAAATCGAGTCTTTACAGAGGTGATCAAGTTATAATCAGGTCCCTATGGTGGTCCTCTGATCCAATATGACTGGTGTCCTTATAAAATGGGGAAATGTGGACACAGAAATTTGTATGTGAAACTACCCAGGTTTTCAAAGTCAGAAGCAATGCTGCGTTTGTTTGGTCAACACGGTGCTTTAAGGCATGTTTCAATGAGCTGTTCAGGCATGAGGCTGGAAAATGTCTTTATTTGGAGTAGGCTTCTGCCCAGTTAAAACTCAGGAAGAAAAGAGGCAAAGATAATGCCTTCTGGTAGCAAAACGACTCCAGTGTTCACAAGCCTCACAACTCCAGACTTCCAGAACAAGGGATGTCATTTTCCCAGACTCTTACAACCTTCCCTTTATTCTGATTGGACCAACCTGAACCAATCACTAAGGTCAAGTGAATGAAGAGTTCTGATTGGCTTATATCTGGATTGCTGCCCATCCTGATCCAATCACTGTGACAAGGGGTGGGACTCTACTGAATGAAATATGCTAATGAGAGCCCCACCCAGAAATGGGGGCAGTATCTATTGCTCCAGAAAGGAGGCTTCATGACGGTGGTATGGTCGAAGGTGCTGGGAAGGCAGACACCCATGTGACCACTCTACCAACGTTAATCAAGTAATTGCATAATTAAGTAAGCTACGATGAAAAAGTGTATCAGGAGTCCAATCCTTGGACCTGGGAGCTGGGAATGGAAATATGAGCAGAAGTTATAGCATGTGGGGAAGAGCATGGCAGGCAGAGGGAACAGCATGGGCAAAGGCTGGACAGCCAAGAGAGTAAGGAAGTCGTGGGTGATGAGACTGGGCAGCAGGTGTCAAAGCAAGCAGGTCCTGGCAGAGGGTGTTGTAAGAAGATTGGGCAATTAGTGAGAGGAAGGAGAAAGGGTGGGAACTGGGAGGTTCCCTGAGCCAGCCAACACAGCCTCAGCCTTGCCTCACCTCCTGAGTCACCCAGGGAGCCACTGGATTTCCACCTGCTGTTGTGGGGACTTGATAAGAGAGAAGGTGCAAAAGTTGCTGGAAATGGGACAGCTTTCTATCCTCTGCCCAAAGTGACCCCCTGGGCCTTAGTTTGTACATCTGCAAAATGGGTCTAACTTAGCCAGCTCCCTGGGGATGGAGACAACTACTGAATATGCCCAATACCAGACAAGGCTGGACACAGACTATCGCCTTCCCCCCAGTGACAAGATTAATTTTAAATGGGTTTTGGACACTTTGAACAGATAAACTTTTAGGGAGATGGATAAAATAGGCAAACATTTACTAATTTGATTTGTGCGCGCACGCGAGCGAGAGAGAGAGAGAGAGAGAGAGAGAGAGAGAGAGAGAGAGAGACTAGTCCGTTTGGAATAGCAGTCTTACTTGCTCAGAGCCTGAAGTAGCTCATTCCCACCATTCAAGAGCTCTCAGGACCCAGGCACCTCTTTCGGAAGTCACACAGAGTGGTCATTAGGAGTTCAGGTGGCCCAGGTGTGATCCCAGCACTGCTCTTACCGTGAGCCCCCAGGAATGTCAATTCACCTCTCTGTGTCTCAGTTTCCTCATCTGTACAATGACACAGAATCTACTTTGTTGGAAAATTGAGAGAAGTGTGTGTGTGTAAATTCATTCAGTCTTCACAACAATCCTACAAGGTAGGTATTCTTTTTTTTTTTTTTCCTATTTTTATTAATTTGTTTTTGTTACAGATGTTTCTCCTTTTTTTCCCCTAGACACCCTCCTCCCCATCCCGCCCCTCACCCCCTCAGCATTGTGGTCTATGTCCGTTGGTTATGCATACATGCATCTAAGTTCTTTGGTTCATCTCATCCATTCCCCCACCCCCCTTCTCTGAGTTTTGTCAGTCTGAGCCATATTCCTTTCTATGTCTCTGGATCTATTTCGTTCATCAGCCCACCTTGTTCATTATATTCCACAAATAAGTGAGATCATGTGGTATTTGTGCATAAAAAGTTGCGTACAAGAAAATTTGTAGCAGCTTTATTCAAGGTAGCAAAATACTGGAAATAGTCCAGGTGTCCATCAATAGGAGACTGGCCACCTATAAAAAGGAATTCATGTAATAAAATGGATGAATCTCAAAAACGTTACATTGAATGAAAGAAGCCAGACACAAAATAGTACGTACCAAATGATTCCATTTATAAGAAAGTCTAGAATAGACAAACCTATTTATTCTCTGGTGAAAAAAAGTCAGACTGGTGGTTGCCTCTCCAGTAGGGATGGATGTGGGAGTTGCCTGGGAAGGGACATGAGAGAATTTTCTGGGGTGATGATAATATTCTGTATCTTCGTAGGGGTTTGGATTAAACACATTTGTCAAAATTAATTAAATGGTACACGTAAGATTTGTGCATTTCATTTTAAGTAAATTTTAAAATTTACATTTAAAATGTTAAATACCATAAACAATTATTGAACTCTAGCTAATGAAATGCATACCAAGTTTTTAGGGCATTGATGCCTACTATTTTGAAATGCATTTTTATTTTTATTTTTTATTTTTTATCTTTATTGTTGAATGTATTACAGATGTTCCTCATTTTCCCTCCATTGACCTCCTCCTCCCTACTCCCCCCACCCCCCTGCCTTTTCCCACTGTGTCCATTGGTTATGCATATAAGTTCTTTGGTTTATTTCTTCCCACCCCCCAACCCCCTTCTCTTTGAGGTTTGTCAGTCTAGTAACCAATTTGTTCTTAATCCCTTCACATTTTTCACCCATTGCCCCAACCCTCTCCCATCTGGCAACCAACAAAATGTTCTCTGTATCTATGAGAATGTTTCTGTTCTGCATGTTCATTTTGTTTGTAGATTCCATTGTCAATAGATATGTATTCATTGCCATTTTGTTTGTTCATATATTTTATTTTTTCTTCAAAAAGACCCTTCAATATTTCATATAATAACGGTTTGGTGGTGATGAACTCCTTTAGCTTTTTCTTGTCTGGGAAAGTCTTTATATGGCCATCGATTCTAAATGACAACTTTGCAGGATAGAGTAATTTTGGTTGTAGGTTCTTGCTTTTCATCATTCTGAATATTTCTTGCCACTCCCTTCTGGCCTGCAAAGTTTCTTTTGAGAAATCAGCTGACAGTCTTATGGGAACTCCCTTGTAGATAATTATCTGCTTTTCTCTTGCTGTTTTTAAGATTCTCTCTTTGTCTTGAACCTTTTGCATTTTGATGATGATGTGTCTTGGTGTGGGCCTCTTGGGGTTCATCTTGTTTGGGACTTTCTGTGCTTCCTGGACTTGTATGTCTGTTTCCTTCACCAAGTTAGGGAAGTTTTCTGTCATTATTGTTTCAAAGAGGTTTTCGATTTCTTGTTCTCTCTCTTCTCCTTCTGACACCCCAGATGTGAATGTTGGCACGCTTGAAGTTGTACCAGGGGCTCCTTACACTATCCTCATTTTTTTGGATTCTTTTCTCTTTTTGCTGTTCTGATTGGGTGTTTTTTGCTTCCTTATATTCCAAATCGATGGTTTGCTTCTTGGTTTTACCTTCTCTACTATTGAATCTGTGTAAATTATTCTTTATTTCAGCTAGTGCCTCCTTCATTTCTGACTGTGCTTCCTTCTTTTCTGACTGGTCTTTTTTCATGCTCTTGAGGCCCTCACTAAGTTCACTGAGCATCCTTATTTATTTATTTTTTTTTATCCTCACTCGAGGATATTTTTTCCATTTTTTGTACAGATAGAGTGGGAGGGAGAGAAAGGAAGGGAGAGAGAGAGAGAAACATCTACGTGAAGGGACACATCGAGTGGCTGCCACCCGCACGACCAACCAGGGCCGGGGACAAACTGCAACCAAAGTACGTGCCCTTAGCGGGAACCGAACCCGGGTCTCTCCAGACCGCAGGCCGACGCTCTAACCGCTGAGCCAAACTGGCCAGGGCACTGAGCATCCTTATAAGCAGTATTTAGAACTCAGCATCTGTTAGGTTGCTTATCTCCATTTCGCTTAGTTCTTTTCCTGGAGATTTGTTCTGTTCTTTCATTTGGGACCTGTTTGTCTCCTCATTACGGCTGCCTCCCTGTGTTTGTTTCTGTGTATTACTTAACGAGAAATATCAAGCTAGCTGAGACCAGATGCTGCTTGTTTGAAAGAATTTAGGAAAACCTGAAGCAGGATCCAAGACAGGCCAATCCTATGGTAAAGCAACTGGCAACAGCTTGGGTGGGCCTGAAAGTTGGGTGGGGCGGGGTGGGGCGGGGCCTCAGGGAGTCAGCAGGGCGGGGCTACCAGTGTGAGCCAGGTTGCTGGAGTCCCAGATATGGCTTCTGTCTGCCGCCCCCGGGAAGAGCTCACCAAAGGAACAAAGGCCTCTGACAGCACGTTTGTCCTGGAGAAAGCCCCCTCTCCAGTCCTCGCTCCAGTGCCAAACAGTTCAGTTCTTCCCTGTATGTCTCTGGTGCCCCTCGAGCTGCCTCCCCTCCAAGCTTAGAGGGAGAGAGTCCGATAAGTCCGTGCGCGGGCCCTTTAAGGAGCTGCCTGGGGCTCCAGCCGCCTCAGCCTCCCTGAGCCTCAGTTCCCGCTGGTTTTTCCAGTCAGAAGTTATGGGGATTCTCTTCCTGGCCCTGGATCCCTGAGCAGGGCGCCTGGTGTGGGACGGGGACCCCTCAGTCCTCAGGAAGGACCTTCCCAGCTGAGGTGTCCCCCTGATTTTTATCCGCCACATGTGGGTGTGGGACCAGCCCGTCCGCCCCCGGCCCTCCTACCAGCCTGGATGTGGCTGCTGCTTTAATTCCGTAGTTGTGGGACTTCCATCCAGCGCGATTTCAGGCGGGTTTGAATGACAGTTGTTCTGTAGTTTAGTTGTAACTTTGATGTGGTTGTGGGAGGACGATACCGCGTTTACCTGGCCGCCATCTTGACCGGAAGTCAAGGTAGGTATTATTATCCCCATTTCACAGATGGGAAAACAGGCACAGAAAAGTTGCGTAATCTGCCCAAGGTCAACATAGCAAGTAGAGAGCAGGGACTAGAACCCCAGTATTCTGACCTGAAAGTCTATGAACTTTGCTGCCAAGAAGGGCTGGGACGTAAGTGTCCAATTTGAGATTAAAGGCTGAAGGTCCTCATGGTGGGGGCCAGAAGTCGGGTAGGCTTCGTCCCAAATCTGGCTTGCCGAGTTTGAGAACCCTGTGAGTCGAGTCCCCTCGTTCCCCCAAGAAACACAGCCCAGAACATCATCCTTTCACCAAAAGGATGGCGGTGTCATCAACTGACATTCCAAAAAGTAGGTAGGTGGGAGGTGGTGATCGTGTCAGGAGGTAGGTTTTGGTAGGTCTAGGTAGGGAATCTTAGAGAAGAGGGATTTTGAGTTGAGAGAGCTGAGAAGTTCCATCTGAGACACATTGGGATTTGTGGGGCTTCTTTATCCTCCCCCAAAAACATGCTTAGAAAGAAGAAGGGAGAGAGAGAGAGAAACATTGATGTGAGAGAGAAACATTGTTCAGTTGCCTTCTATACATGCCCCTGACTGCAGATCAAACCCACAACCTGGGTAGGTGACCTGACCAGGGATTGAAGCAGCAACCTTCTGGTGCACAGGACGATGCTCAACCAGTTGAGCCACTCCAGCTATTGGGTTTTTGTTTTTTGTGTTTTCTTTTTTTATCCTCTCTCTGGGGACATTTTTGCATTTATCTTCAGATAGAGCAGGAGGGAGAGAGGGAGGAAGAGAGGAGAGAGAGAGACAATGATGTGAGAGACACATCAACTAGTTGCCACCCACATGACCCGAACCGGGGCTGGGGACAAACAGCAACCGAGGTACGTGCCCTTAGCGGGAATCGAACCTGGGTCTCTCTGGTCTGCGGACCGACACTCTAACCGCTGAGCCAAGCCAGCCAGCGTCGGCTGTTGGGTTTTATTTGCAGGGGAATCAGCCTGCTGGTTGGGCACTCAGGCCTGAAAAGCAGGAGAGAGCTCGGGTGGGAAGTTGCAGTCACATATCAGCACTCTACAACCTCTCCCAGACCCCTCAGGAAAGCTTACGGAGCTGCCCGTCACACACCTGCCCATGAGCACTGCGATCGTGGCTGCCATCCTCATCGGATCTCTTGCTGCCGGGTCCCTCCTCATCGGCAGCATTGCCTATCTCCTGGTGACAAGAGGCTGGCGGAACCAGAGCCACAGGTACAGGGGCCCCAGGCCACTCTCTGCTTCCTTTCTGTCTCCTCCCTCTCCCCTCTCAATCAGTCCCATGAATTGATTCTTTCACTGATCACATCATCTGACTCATACACAATTTCATCAAATCTTGGAACTCCTATCTGGCCGATGTGGCTCAGTGGTTGAGCGTCAGTCCATGCACCAAGAGGTCGCCGGTTCGATTCCTGGTCAGGACACATGCTCAGGTTGTGGGCCCGATCCCTAGTGGGGGGCATGCAGGAGACAGCCAGTTGATGTTCTCTCTCATCGATGTTTCTATCTCTCCCTCTCCCTTCCTCTCTCTCTAAAATCAATAAAGAAAAAAAAAATCTTGGCTGCCCTGGCCGGTTTGGCTCAGCGGTTGGAGCGTCAGCCTGTGGTCTGGAGAGACCCGGGTTTGGTTCCCGCTGGGGGCATGTGCCTCAGTTGCAGTTTGTCCCCGGTCCTGGTTGGGTCATGTGGGTGGCGACCACTCGATGTGTCCCTTTCGCGTCAATGTTTCTCTCTCTCTCTCCTTCCCACTCTATCTGAACAAAATATCAAGAATGTCCTCAGGTGAGGATAAAAAAAAAAAAATCTTGGAACTCCTGAGGTGAAAGAATCTTTCTGTCCTGTATTAGACAGAATTCTGCATTGCAAGGGACAAAAACCCAACACTTGAACTGGCTTACAAAGAATTAGAAAGTGTTTTGGTCCTCCATGAGCTTCAGGTATGGCTGGATCCAGGTACTCAATTTTGTCAAGAAACTTCTCCATGCATCTCTCAACTCTGCTTTTCTCTGTGGTGGCTTTATTCTCAGGCAGGTCCTCACCTTACAGTGTGACAAGAAAGCTCCTAGTGGCTTGAGGCTTGTACCCCACCAGCTCAGCCACTGCAGAGGAAAGACTGTCCCTGGTAGTTCCAACAAAAGCCCGAGGGCTGCCTCCAGTCAGTCCTTACAGGCCCTGTCACCAGGCTCGGTGCTGGAACGCTCTAACTGGCAGAACATGGGCTATTTGTGCAGCCCCGGAGCTAGAAATAGACCCGGCTTCACATGATCAAATGGGTCGAGAGTGGGGAGGGGTTCCCCAAAGGAAAACCAGATGCCAGAGAAGTGGAATGGATGGTGGGCAGACAAAACCATCAGATGGTACCTACCTCACATGGGGGAAGAGGGAGAGGTCGGGGCCTGTTTCCCCAGGAGAGTCTGTTCATGGAAATTCCCTCCCTCGTGAGGTCAGCCTCTTCAGGGCCTGGCTCTGAGCTGGTTGCAGAAGAGACGTCTAGTCTTTCTGCCACTCCGTGATCCCCAGAAAATGAAGGCTGCAGTTTTCTCTCTTCCCTCGATCCTTTCTTATGTGTGGTGGTTTCTTGACCTTTATCATCTTACCTGTCTTTCTCCTGATACGTTCTAATTTAGGGGTGGCAAAGGGCTGTAAAAAAATAATAGACACAGCGTCACTTTAAAACGTAACCAGAGCCACAGACAAAATAGAAACAGATTCACAGATATAGAGGACAGAGTGACAGCTGTCAGAGGGGAGGGGGACAGGGTGGAAAAAAAGTGAAGGGATTAAGCAAAAAAAAAAAAGAATAAAACCTCATGGACACAGACAACAGTATGGTGATCACCAGAGCGAAACGAGGGGGTGAGGAAGGGGGAAGAAGGTAAAAGGGGGAGAAAAGGTGATGGAAGGAGACTTGACTTGGGTGGTGAACACACGATACAACATGCAGATGATGTTATTATAGAATTGTACCCCTGAAACCTGTATAATCTTATCAACCCATGTCATCCCAATCAATTCCATTTAAATTAATTAATTAATCAAATGGGGCCAGAGCTGCCATCCCGGAGGAAGTGATGTCTGGGATTAAAGCAGCATTATGTCCAAAGCCCTGTCTGCAACGAGAACAAGAGAGCAGTCTCATGACCCTGGCGGCCTAGACTGACCCCGTGAAACAGTCTGGAATCCACATCACCGTGTTCGCTGCAGACAGATCCCTTTCTCCTGCTTCGCCTCCGGATCCCAACACGGCTTGGATTTCTGCCCGAACCAGTTGTTCCTGAATAGCTATTCCTTTTTACCTCGGATAACACCTTGTGGCCTCTCCATCTGGCCTTTTATTTTTAGGTTAACACAGCTTTTAGAACCGGGAAGGGGACCCGGCCCTGAGCGGGGCTGCCTGGGGCCAGCGGACAGTGTGCGGGTTTCTGACTTGGTGCAGGAAAAGGGTCACGAGTCCAGGTGGATTTTGGAGGACGGTTATTAAAGCTGGGGACAGGAAACCAGACAGGGCTGGGAAATGAGCCCAGGCTGGGCTGCTGGCTCACTCAGAGGTCAGAGGAAAGGGGCCTTGGGGGTAGGTTCGGGGGGTTGTCTGGGATGAACTCCCGCCGCCCATTGCTGCCCCGGTTGCAAGCCTCAGGGGTCCCTTAGGGTTTAGGAGATGCTCGCCTGTGGGGAAAGTAGGGGTGGGGGCGCCGGGGGGTGCTCCTGGGAAGGAGAGCTTGAGTTGGGTCCTTTGTCTGAGGCTTTTATTTCTCTCTAGCAGGAGGGAATCTTAGGAGAGGTCCCAGGGAAGGCTCTCAAGAGAGTATTCAGCTGTTTCCCAGGTGTGCTCTTTAGGGGCGTGGTCTTCACTGATTGGTCGGCACCAGGGCAGGGGCTCCTCCGTCACTGCAGCTGGTCCTGGTGTCGCCCACCTGGTTTTACTGCTTTTCTGGGTCTGGAGCTGAAATACAACTGAGGCCTAGATGTCCCCTCTAGGGAGGTGACTTCTGTATCTGCTGTAAATGGCTGTCAGTTTGTTCCGCTGTGTGTCTCCCTGAGTAGGTGCTTTAAGCTTTGTATTCACCCTCTGGTTGGGGAGAAGTACAAGCCATTGAGTCCTCTTAGTGTCACTGCTTTAGGGAAGGTGAGGTTTACCACGTGGCTGCAAACTGCCATTTTTGGGTTTTTGTTTTGTTTTTTATTGATTTTTGAGAGGAAGGGAGAGGGAGAGAGATAGAAACATCGATGAGAGAGAACATCAATTGGCCACCTCCTAATTGCATTGGGGATCAGGCCCACAACCTGAGCATTTGCCCTGACCAGGAATCGAACCGGTGACCTCTTGGTGCATGGGTTGATGCTCAACCACTGAGCCACACCAGCCAGGCACAAACTGCCGTTTGACTATCTGTCTCAGTTTCCTTAACCTGCTTGTCCTGGCTCACCAGCCTGTCTCACTTTCACCTCCCAGCCCAATTCTGATCAGTAAATCAGTCAACACGTATTTGCTGAGGGCCTAGTATGCGCCAGGCACTGTTCTAGGCACTAGAGAGCTTGGCGGAAAGGGGGTTGGAGGTCGCATCCAAGTCCAGTGGGAGAGGATGCTGTGATTGGTTAGTAACGTCTGCCGCCATCCTATCAGAGGCCGTGGAGGCACAAAGCCATTCCTGCCGGACTCCTTCCTAGCTCACAGGAGAAACCAAAAGCGGTGATGGGGAGGATTTGTCCCTCAGGCCATAGTTTGCCATAGTCTCTAGAGAAAACTCAGGCTTAGAGATATGAAGTCATTCGCCAACTGGCACAGAACTAGGACTGGAACCCAGGTCTGGGTGACTGGTAAGCTCCAGACCCTCAGAAGCTTTTTCCCACCACATCCAGGGATTCTCAAAGAGTCTCAAAGATTCTCAAAGCACTGGCTAAACTGTGGGCAACCTCACAGGGCACTCTGGGCCATAGCACTGAAAAACACAAAATCATGGAAATATTTAAATACATGAAAGTAGTTAGGGATAAAGGACCATGATACGGGCAACTTACCCTCAGAGAGAGGGAGAGAGAGAAGCTAGATGCTAAAGCAAATGGAGTAAAAATAACAGGTCAATCTGAGTTAAAATTATGCGGATGTTCTTTGTACCATTTTTGCAACTTTTCTCTAAGTTTGAAATATTTCCCTGTAAAAAAATTTTTTTAATGGTGTGGTGTTTTTATTTATTTATTTATTTTATTATTTTTATTTTTTTATCCTCACCTGAGGACATTTTTCCATTTTTTGTTCAGATAGAGAGGGAAGGAGAGAGAGGAAGAGAAAGAGAGAGAAACATCAAGGTGAAAGGGATACATCGAGTGGTTGCCACCCGCACGACCCAACCAGGGCCGGGGACAAACTGCAACCGAGGTACGTGCCCTTAGCGGGAACCGAACCCAGGTCTCTCTGGACCGCAGGTTGACACTCTAACCACTGAGCAAAACTGGCCAGGGCGGTTTGGTGTTTTTAAAGGCTTTGAAACATGTGGTAAAAAATCTTTTTTCTCTTCTCTTTGCATTGTTCAGACTGTGGCCAATGAACATGTCACTGGGGTTCTAGCCACCCTTTACTGCCTTTCTAATACCTGCTGGCTTGACCAAGAGAAAATCGGTGACTATATCGAGCTACAAGTTTAAATCATTGTTGGGTTTTTCTTTTTCTTTTTTTATCCTCACCCAAGGACATTTTTTTATTTTTTGTTCAGATAGAGTGGGAGGGGGAGAGAGGAAGAGAGAGAGAGAAACATCGACGTGAAAGGAACACATCGAGTGGCTGCCACCCACACGACCCAACCAGCACAGGGGACAAACCACAACCGAGGCACATGTCCCTAGCGGGAACTGAACCCGGGCCTCTCCGGACCGCAGGCTGACGCTCTAAGCGCTGAGCAAAACCGGCCAGGGCGGGTTTTTCTTTACTTTTGTGGTCATTTTCTGCTTGTGTCTAATTGGAAAGAGTTTTTATTTATAATATAACAGCTTCTAATGTGTCTCCCTGCTTCCTTCCACTCCCCATCCCACAGTCTGTTCCCCATTCAGCAGCCAGAGAGGTCCTGTTAAAATCAGTGAGCTCAGGTTCCTCAGAGTCAAGGCCATAATCCTCACCACAGTCATAAGACCCAGCTCAATCTCCTGCCCCCACCTCACCTCCCTGACCTCACCTCTTTCCCCTCTCACAGTCTCTCTTCCCAGCCACACTCTGCTCCTTGCTATTCCTTTGCTGTTCCTGCTCCTGCCTCAGAGCCTTTGCACAGACTGTTCCCTCTGCCTGGAACTCTCCGCCCATGATTTCTGCACAGCTGGTCCCCGTGGTTGTTTCAGGCCTTTGCTCAAATGTGATCTTCTCAGTGAGGCTCCCCAGGCATCCTACTTGAAACTACACACATGCCCCTTCCACCCTCTGTTCTTTCCATCATTGTTTTCCTTCATAATACTTTTCACTCCACTGTTGATTGTTCATTCGCATTCTCTATCATCTATCTGTCATCTAATCTATAGCCATCTCTATCTCTCTCTCCACTAGAGCGTCTGCTCCAGGAGGCCAGGGGTCTTTGTCGGCCTTGTTCCCAGCTGTGTCCCAAGTAACTTCAACGGTACCCAGCTCATGGTTAGTGTTCCATAAATATTTATTCAGTGAATATATGAATTGGTAGTGATGCCAAGCGTACTTTTCAAATAAGAGTATGCAAATGAGAAAATTTAAAGAGAAAACATTTTTTTTTTCAAATACAAGGGAAAGTTTGTTTAGAAAGTCACAGAGGTAGAAAAAGTGAGCCAACTGGGCTGCATGGGCTCAGGAAACAAATTACAGAGGCAAGAGAAGGGCCCTTGGAGCTTAGGAGAGAGAGAGTGGGAGCAAAGGTACTCACCTTGAGGGAAGAAGAGGAGAAAAGGCATGGGTGTAAGAGAGGGAGGAAAAGAGGAAGAGAGAGAGAGAGAGAGAGAATGCCAAAAGAAATATTAAGAAAATCATGAGCAGCTGGATGGAGCAGAATTGCTTAGATTGTTTGTATAAATGGTGACTTTGGAGAAACATTGCTCGCTGGCATAAGGTGGAGGCTGGGGAAACTGAGGAAGGACTGCGTAGCTGGGGGTTATGGGAGAAGAGTCATGGATAGCAACAGGTCTCATCCTGGCCCACTCGGAAGCAGGGACACACACACACACACCCCCCTCTGGGGCCTGGTGGGCTTTGTGGCTCCTCTGGGTGTCTCTCCACCTACCTGAACATTTGCTTGTACTAACGTTGGTTCCCTCCACGTGCCCCCAGGATGGCGACCACAGGGAAACCGGAGCTGGGCCCCAGTCATAACACTGGTAAGCCAGGGGCCCTGTCTTGCTACCCAGGCGTCCTCACGGCTCCTTCCTCTTCTCCCCCAGCAACAAACCCTCTTGCCTCCCCTACTTGGGGCCTCCCAAACATTTGCCCCACCCAGACCTCTCTGGGGTCCCCAAACTCAGCCCGCAGATTCTGAGGGCAGCAGGGCTCGCCCAAAACCTGTTTTTCTCCTCCCCTCGGTGCCTGGCACTCCCTGTCCCAGTCATCCCACACTCACCCAGCCACCAGCAGGCCACAGCCCACTTCAGGCGCCATCTCTCAGAGCCCCACACCCAGCTCCTCGCTGGTCTTCCAGCCTCTGGGAGCCTTCATCTCATTCCTGGCAGGGTCCTTCTAAAACTCTGACCATGTCACTACTCAGAGACCTTCCATGGCTCCCCAGTGCCTTTAGGATCAAGTTTAGGCTCCCTAATATGTCTCTCAAGGACTCCCATGAACCTGCTTCCACTGTCTCTCCTGGCTTCATCTCGCACATGTAACATTCCCATCCTCAAACAAACAAAACAAAACAAACAACAACAACAAAATATATATAGATTTATATATACCTCAAACATGGCAGGCTTGCCCCGGCCTGTCTACCAAAAGGTTGCGGATTCAATCCCTGATCTGGAGTCAACCAACTGATGTTTCTCTTTCTCTCTTTCTCCCTTCCTCTCTTTAAAATCAGTGTAACATGTCCTTGGGGGAGGATTTTTAAAAATAACCTGGCAGGCTCTTCACTGCCAGGCCTAAACTTTCTCTGGTCTTTGCATAGCTCTCACTTCTCCCTACAGTCTCAGATGTCCCCTCCTCCAGGAAGTCCTCCCAACCCCACTCCAGGAGCCATCCGGGTTCCCCAACTCCAGCTTTGCCCTCTCTGGATCGTCCCTGTCTGGGGACAGGTTTGTCCCCCTCTGGACTGTGAGCCCCCTGAGGGCAGGGCCCAGCCTGTCTCAGTCACTGCTGTGTCCCCAGCGGAGGGCTGGGTAAGAAGAGGGGTTTGACAAATGTTAGTTAATGAAAAAAATGTCAACAGCAGCCAGAGTGGGCCTGTGGGCCATCTGTCAGCTGGTTCCTCCCCTTGTCCCCTGTTTCAGACGACGACAACATCTATGAGGTGATGCCGTCTCCGGTGCTGGTGTCCCCCCTTGGAGGCACGGTGTCCGTGAACGCCATGGTAAGCCCCCACCGCCTCCCCTAAAGCGGCCCTGACCGGGTGCCTCCCCTCGGGTTGGCCGGGTGTCTTGCAGTCTGGGGACTGTGACGGTCTCCAGGATCCTTCCTCACTAAAAGCCAGAGGAAGAGACTGGAAGGACACAGGGTCAAGAGCATTTGTCTCGGGGCCTGGAGGCTGGGGGTGGGCTCTGGTTTCTCTCTTTGTATTTTCTACACTGAGCTTATAGTCCCTTTATACCCCGGTGAGAAGGGTTGATAAAAATAAGAAGTAAATTAAATAAGAAGGGAAACTTCAGAAGCTACGACTAAAAACCTAGCACCACAGGTGTTGATGGGGAGGCTGAGCATTAGCGGGGTGACTGTCAGGCCAGCGGCTCTCACACCCATTTCCCAGAGGAGAACACTGAGGTGCAGGGAGGTGGTACCCTTCCCCCAGGGCCTCGGAGTCAGGGAGGGGCTGTGGGGACTGGGAACCAGGTCTGAACTAACCAAAGGGCAAAGGGTGGAAGGTGCGAGGTGCCAGCCTGGCTCACTTTTTCTTCCCTTGCAGCCCCTGCCCCTGCCCCCACCCCTGGAGCCAGTGCCAGAGAACCACCACTACCAGGTGTGGGGCGGGACCCCATGGAGCCAGGGTGGGAAGGGGCAGGAAGACGCTGGGAGGGGCCTTTCCTCACCCCGCCCCCACTCAGGGTCTGCAGCCCCCGGGAAGCCTTCCAGCCTGCTGAGAGCCCCGAGGCAAGTCCTTCCCCTGGGTTGCAGTTTCCTCCTCCTTCAAAGGGATGGAGGCTGTGAGTTTGCACTGGAGGAAATGAAGCCCAGAGAGGGGAAGGGCCTTGCCCAGGGTCACACAGCGGGACAAGGCCCAGCCCCTCCTGTCTGTCCCAGGGTCTCCGTCTGCCCCTCAATGTCCCTGGCAGTCTGTCTACAAATCTCTGTGTATGTCTCTCTCCCCCTCCTCTCTCCCCCCCCCCCCTTTTATCTGTCTTCCCCTCACTCTTTCTGTATCTCCTCACATCTTTGTTTCTCTGTCTCTTCTCCTCCTCTGTGTCTGTCTCCCGTCTCTTCATCTGCCCCTTTTCTGGCTCTTCCGATGCGGACACAGAGACCGTCCCACCTCGGCCTTTCATCCTCTGTATGGCTGCGTTTTCTCTCCCAGCCTCTAGCTGGCTCTTCTGTCTCCCCCAACTCTCACTCCCCAACAATAATCTCTCTCCTTCCCCTCCCCCAGGACCTGCTGAACCCCGACCCTGCCCCTTACTGCCAGCTGGTGCCAACCCCCTGAAGGGGTCCCCGGCCTGGCCAGGCCAGTGGAGAGAGGAAAAGCCTCAGACCTCCCCTGGGAGCCTCACACCTGCTGCACAGCCACACCCGAGACCCAGCAGGACCAGGCCATTAGGGCTGTGGGGCTGATCGGGGGACTTGCTGAACACATCGAGCAAGGCATCGGACAGGTGTCCCAGGCTGGGGACAGGAGACCAGCCAGACCCAGCTTCTCACTCCCCCTCTGGGTGTACCACCCGCCCTAATCTGCTCCTTCCAGCAACCTGACCGAAGCCATGTGCCTCCCCCTCCTCCTCCACTGGGATGTTTGGGGGTGAGGAGGTGCCCACTTGGCTGGGCTCTGGACTGGCTGTCAGCCCACAAAGCCCCAGCCCCGCTCCCTGGGGACAGGACAGCCCCACCATACCTGCCCCAGAGGACAAGGCACAGGGCAGGGAGCACTGGCCTCCCAGGTCTGTGGCCCAGAGGACAGCCCTGGTCAGTTACTACGGCTGCCACACCCCTTCCCTGCTCAGGCAGAGCTGACCCCTCTCAAAACCCAGTCTCTCAGAACCTGCGGCCACCTTCTGCCTGTTGCCCCCCAGCCTGAATCTCACCAAATCCCTCAGGGCAGGACTCCTTTCTCTACCCCACCCCAACCCCACTCCCAAATTCGAGCCCAGTGTGTGGCCTTTAATTCACTCTTTCATTCAGCAATAAACAGGCTGTGCCATGAAGAGTCTAGATCCTGCAGCTTTGGCAGGGAACAAGGCAGAGGAAAACACTTGCTCTCCCAGACGGACACTCTGACAGGGGGGAGACGGAAACTAAGTAACATAGGGTGTGGGGTGTTGGATGGTGATAAGTGCCCCGGGGGAAACAAAGAAGGGGGGTTAGGAGAGGTTCCCTGAGAAGGTGACAATGAGCAAAAACCTGAAGGAAGAGAAGGAGAGAGCCAGGTGGGGATCTGGAGGGAGAGCGTTTCAGGCAGTGAAAATGGCAAGTGCAAAGGCCCTGAGGTAGGAGTGTGCCAGTGTGTTCAGGAGCAGCAAGGAGGCCAGGGTGGTGGGAGCAGAAGACAGGGGGCGGGTAAAGGGTAAGAGGTGAAGTCCGGGGTGGGGGGAGCAGCAGAGCGAGCAGGGCCATGAAGGGTGCTGCAAAGACTGTGGCTTTTGCTCTGGAGGTTGGGGAAAAAAAGAACAAAAAGACAGTGGTAGGCTGAATAATGGCCCCTCAAAATGTCTATGTCCTAAATCCCTGTGGATGTTACCTTACATGGCAAATGGGATTTTGCTCCTGGGAGGATCCTGGGATGGGCAGATTATCCTGGGCCATCCAGGGGGGTCCTGAATGTGGTCACAAGTCTCTTTATAAGAGAGACACAGAAAGAGCACGATTCAGAGGTGAGCCCGGCGGTGTGGCTCAGTGGTTGAGCATCGACCCATGCACCAGGAGGTCTTTCTCAGATGGATATTTCTCTCTCGCGCGCGCTCCCACTCTGTCTAAAAAAAAAAAAAATTTAAATATATATCAAGTGTGAAAAAAAAGTTACAGGAGGTCCTAATGCAGTAAGACTGGTTTCGCTCAGCTAGGAGGCGCTGTCTGCCAGCCCAGGGGAGCGCCTCAGGAGAAACCAGCCCTGCCAACCCCATGGTGGAGCATTTCCAGCCTCCAGAACTGTGAGAAGAGAAATACCTGTGGTTTAAACACCAAGCCTGTGGTCCCTTGCTATGGCAGCCCTGGCTGACCAACGCAGGCTCCTCCTACCACAGCCCCAGGAAACGGGGTGACCAAAGGGGTTTTTTTCTATAAAACCAGAATTAAATATAATAATAATAGCCCTGGCCAGTTTGGCTCAGCGGTTAGAGCATCAGCCTGCGGTCCTGAGAGACCCGGGTTTGGTTCCCTCTAAGGGCACGTACCTCAGTTGCAGTTTGTCCCCGGCCCTGGTTGGGTCGTGCGGGTGGCAGCCACTCGATGTGTCCCTTTCACATCAATGCTTCTCTCTCTCTCTCTCTCTCTCTCTCTCTCTCTTTCTCTACCTCCCACTCTATCTGAACAAAAAAGAATGGAAAAAATGTCCTTGGGTGAGGATAAAAAAATTAATATAATAATAATAATAACAGTAGCTCCAGTGAGAAAGCCTGTACACCAAGCTTTGCTGATTGAACTCAATGGGGCACCAGAGACATGAGAAGAAACCAGACCAGCTCCTGCACCCAGGAAACTTGCAGTCTAGTGGGGCAGGCCACCTGGGACCCATGTAATAATAACTAATAATAAATATTTATTGAGCCTGTGCTGTATACACCATGCACTGTGCTAGGTGCTGTACATTTATTTACTTGTATCCTTGCAACAGCTTTGTGAAGGAAGAACTCTATTATCGCCATTTTACAGATGAGGAAACCGAGTCAGGGTGTACATGGACAAACTGAGAATGGAACCAAAGCCTTTCTAACACCCAAGCTTTCTCTTCTCCTTGTTCCATTCTGAAAAGAAGAAGGACCAAGATGTAACCTACCACCACAGAGGACGCTGGGGTCTGCGTGGGGGCAGAGGGCTCTGCCGTCCATCAGAGGGCGCGAAGGAGCGCACACAGCGCTATCACCCTTGCTGGCCTTCGGTTTCTGCTCTATAAAATTGAATGGATTGGACAGTCTCTGGAAGACTTCCATCCTTCCAGAACCCTAGGCCAGAGAGGGCAAAGATGTTTGACTTTGCTTTTGGGCAATTCCCACCCATCAGCAGAGGTGGGTTGGGGCACTGTGTTGAGATGGATTATGAGGCTGGTTTTGGATCCAGCAGGGAGCCGTGTTGTGATTGCTTCTGTCTACAGCAATCAGTTAACAACGTTTTCTGAGAGGGCGGGAGGAGAAAGCGGCCGCACAATGCCTTGTTTTTGTTATGGCTGTCAGAAAAGGCAGAACTCCTCAGAGTTCTCAATTCCAATCTCACCCATTTTCCAGATGGGGACACTGAGGCTCGGAGAGAGCAGGGCTTGCTTATGCTTCACATGGTGACCTGGTGGCAAAGCTGGGAGCAGAGGGGCTCCCAGCACCAGCCTCTTCCCAGCCCTCACTCTGCCCTGGGATTTAGCTAGCAAGGCACTTACCAGAACTGGGCTGGGCAGAGTGCGCCTCCTCAGAGGTGGCTGGGGTAACCTCACGGGTGGGGTCCTCTGCTATTTTCCTGGAGGACCAGAAACCCCAAAGCACTCATACTCTGTGCATCTAGTCCTTCCCATCTCCATAGGCTCTGCCCATATCCCACGTCCATTTTCAGGCAATGCCCCAAACCCTCTGAATTGCCCAGGTGCCATGGATACAGTTCAGCACCATGGTCAGCAACTCTCCTGCCCGGCAAGCCCCCTGAAGACCACACCCCCACCCCATTTCCAGCTTTACCTTCTGGCATATCTGATGTAGAGAAAATAGCCCAGCCCTACCGACAGGGCAATGACTGCCAGGATGCCAATGGCAATGCCAGCAATGGACCCTGCAGACAGCGACGACTGGGGACCTGGGCCTGGAGGGAGAATCAGGACTCGGGCCTGACACACTCTCATCCCTGTTCCCAGCCCTATTCCCAAGCTTGTGGCTTTATCTCCACATCAATGGATGAGCACTGGTTTTCCAATCGCTGAGAGGCAAGGATTTGGGGTATTAACAGCATCACTTCTGGAGTCAAACAGCCTCGGTTCACATATCAGCTGGGTGATCCTGACCATGCCCTTCTGTAAAACGGGGATAACAGGGCCTACTCCACGTGGTTGTGTTGGTGTCATGATGATACTGCTCAGGAGGATGGATCAAATATGGCTTTCATAGGAAAGGCTTGGACAACCAGAAGCTGGCTTTCCCCTGAGAAATCTTTCCCTCTCTGAGGCCCTGTGACCAAGTGGTACAGGCTCAGTAAAGAATTATTTTATTTAACAACCGCAGTGTGCCAGGCACTGCCATAGAGCTTTACAAATGTTCATAATCTTCAACAGACCTCTGATATATACACGCATAATTATTATGTTTGTTTTACAGGTAAGCAGTCAGAGGCCCAGAGAGGTTAAGTAGCATGCCCAAGGTCACACAGCTCATAAGCTTTGGAGCTCTGGCTAATAGTGACACTATGCTGCCTGCTCAAGAACTCAAGAAAGGGCATGGCTGGTGTGGCTCAGTGGATTGAGCATCGTCCCATGCACCACAAGGTCACCAGTTCAATTCCCAGCTATCTCCCTCTCCCTTCCTCTCTCTCTAAGAAAATTAATAAAATAAGCATATTTTTAAAAAAGAATTCAAGACAGACATGCAAGGCCTCATTGCCAGTCATACCCAGTTGCTATTAATAGAATATCTGGCTCCCCTCCCATCTCACTCCTCTCGGTGGCTGTCCCCCTGACTCATGCTACTTCTAAACAGCTCGGAAAGGCAGGCACCACATCCCCATTTACAGGTAGGAACACTGAGGCTCAGAGAGACTTTTCCAGGGCACACAGCTAGGAAGTAGAGGTTCTCGGGCCTGAGCGTTAGGGCTTGGGATTAAACAGCTCTGGATTGGCAGCCTGCCTATGCAGTATACTCATGTCTACACCTCGAGCCCGGGAAAAGCCACTTGTACCCAGGGGAAGGTAGTGCACCTGAAGGACTCACCTATCACTCTGACCAGGACCGAGGCGGAGCGGGCCTGACGGGTCAGAGGGTTGAGGGCCAAGCAGTTGTAGGTCCCCTGGTGTTCCCGGGTCAGGGCCCCGATGATCAGCTTCTCCCCCATAGACACAGTGGTGGAGTGTTCAAGGGTCCAGCGATACTCGGCGCCTGGCTGGGACTCAGCCTGACACTGCAGGGTCAGGCTGGAGTTGAGCTCTGCCTCTACTGTGCTGACCACCTCGGACTCCAACCCGCTGGTGATGTCCACTCTGTCAGGGCCATCTGTGTGCAAAGCCAAACATGTGCCCGTCCTGCCCTGGCACTTTAACCCATTGTGCCCCCTTCACTTCCACACTGGAGGTTTCTCCTTTTTCTCCTT